GAGCTTCTCACCGACATGGCCCCAACCAGCCGGAAGGCACAAGTAAAATAAAGCAAGGTCGATCTCCGAGTCGTGTATACAGATGTTTTAACACGCTTGTATTGTACTCCCTATTCACTGAAAGCAACATGCTGGCGGAAAAATTATGCGCATCCTGCTAAAAAAGCAATGTGAAATTCGCAGTATTCCCAGGAACATAAAAATAAATAAATAAAAAGCATCGTCAATATATACTCATGACTCGAACGAAGAAGCGCACGCTATAAATAGTACGAGTGACATCTAATGTCTTAAATGAGCCACATTTGAGCATGCCTGACACCAATGGCGTGCCTCTTTGCACGTTTTATCCGTGTTTATCAACTCAGCTGCAGCAAGCACTTTGGCACTATGTTAAATGTTCAGCCAAGGAATAGAAGCAAGAACTAAACCGAGGCATGCCATTATCACAATCACATAATACCGCGAACCAAGAATAAGTTTGCGGTATAGACTGTTCTATACAAATGGGTTTGAGTGCCGTCATATTGGGCAATAAGCTTTGTGTTTTGAATCTCTACTAAATAAACAAACATTGCACGGTAGACGAATACGCAAAAAATGATTTGATGGGCGCCTACGGCGTTCTATGGCGTCATTAATTCACGTCGCAATATGCAAAAACAAGAAGACATCAAATTACCAGGCCAAGAAGCAGCGCTAACATGCCTAAGGTAAAATAGTTTACAAAAAGTGCCTATACGGCATCTATCACTTCATTCTTTTTTTCTCGGTGCTACAAAAAAAAAAGAGCCAGGCCTGCGTGGTAGGCGCAGCACTAGTCACAGCGAAAGCTAGGAGAGCGGCATTTCAGAGAAGAAGGAAGAAAGTTTAAGCGGAAAGACAGGGAGGTTAGCCAATTCTTAGACCGGCTGGCTACCCTGTGCTGGAGAAAGGGGTGAGGGGAATGAAAGATGTTAAAAAGGAATGTTGCGAAGAGAGGGAGAAATTACAAAAAAAAAATTGCGACAGAGGAAAGGCAACATCAAAGAGTATAAGACACTAAAGTCTGTCTCTGAGGCCAGTTGTCCGCAAAAAGCGCAGCAAAGCTTTCAAAGCCTTCTGGGCTGAGGATGGGCTCAGCCAATCACCCAGAATCCTTTGTTCCGACAAAGGCTGATCGTCTAGTCTATCCAGAGCTGCAGTGAGTTCTTGTCTTTGCGCGTTGAAATGGGTGCGCTCACTCAGAAGGTGCGCAATGGTTTCTTCGCAACTGCAGTAAGTGCATGTAGGAGAGCTGGCCATCCCAATGAGATAAGAGTATGCGTTCGTGAAGGCCACTCCAAGCCACAGGCGGCATATAAGAGTCTCCTCAGCTCGAGATATCCTTGGAGGAAGACGAAGCTGCAGATCGGGATCCAAGTTATGCAGGCGCGCGTTTGTGAAGTCTGTTGAGTTCCACTGTACCAGTGTGAGATCACGTGCAAGCAAACGAAGTCTTGTAGCTGCGTCGGTTCTTGAGAACGGGATGGCTGTGTATTGGGTACCATCGTGTGCAGATCTAGCGGCCTCATCTGCGCGGTCATTGCCATATATACCGCAATGATCTGGTATCCACTGATACACTATGCTGTGCTGTTTTTTCGTTTGCTTGGTGATGAAGAAGCCTTATTTCAGCTACTAACTGTTCATTAGGTCCATGGCGAAAGGGTGATATAAGATATTGAAGAGATGCCTTCGAGTCCGAGAAGATAGACCGAATTCCCGAAGATTGTTTCACTATAAACGCCAGAGCTGCACGAGTGGCTGCAAGTTCTGCAGCTGTCGACGGCGTCAAATGCGATGTCATGAATTTAATTATGATGTGCCTCGCGGGAATAACCACCACCCCTGCAGAGCTTACTGAAGACACCGAGCCATCCGTGTAAATGTGAAGGCGTTCGTTGTGCTTCTCTTGCAGGAAAAGTAATGTGGCCTGTTTCAGGGCTAGATGCGACGACTTTTCTTATTTTGGATGCCAGGAATTGTAAGAAGGGCTTTGAGTGGGTGTAAGCACCATAATGGTATCGGCGGCTGTGCTGCATGCGTGAAGTGAAATGGAAGCACTGCACAATGCTGAGCTACAGTTGCGCTGAACGCTGAGTGGGGCATGGAAGTTCGAAGTGAGGCGAGGTGATGAGATGAAAGCCGAGCGAAATGTCCTATGGGCATTCTCAAAGCGTCTACGCGAATGTATGCGTTGACTGGATAATCACGCGCAATTATGACTGTCGCTGCTGTAGACGCGCATCTCGGGAGACCAAGGCATATTCTCAGGGCTTGGGCTTGGATCGACTGGAGGACGCGCAAGTTTGTTCTTCGGATCCCGCAAAGCACGGGTATCGCATATAAACTGTATCGCATATAACCGAGGAACAGAACAGTGTATAGTTGGAGCATTGCTCGTACTGATGCACCCCACGTTTTTCCAGCAAGAAACCTCAGTACGTGGGTGATCATGTTGAGTTTAGTTTTCATGTGGGCGATGTGAGGGCTCCAGGAGAGGTCGCGATCAACTATGACTCCGAGGAATCGGTGGGTTTTCACGTAGTTGATCGTGTTTCCGTTGATTTTAATAACATATGGGCTCATAGCCTTATGCGTGAATGCTATAAGCGAGCATTTCTCTGATGACAGCTCTAGTCCTCGTTCTTTCAGGTACTTTGTCGCTATTGTAGCCGCTCTCTGAAGCCGGGCACGCAAATGAAGGCGTGTTATGCCTGACGCCGAGATGCAGATGTCATCTGCATATATTGATAGATGGACAGATTCTGGAAGTGCGTCAACCAGGCCGAGTAGCGCTAGATTGAAAAGTGTGGGGCTAAGAACACCGCCTTGAGGCACACCTCGACGGTTGCAATGGTGCGTTGCACTGCCATTCTCCATCTGTACAATGAAAGTTCTGCCTTTCAGATAGCTGTGGATCCATTGGTAAACCCGACCCCCTAATCCAACATTTTCCATGACATCCAGAATGGCTTCATGTGATACGTTATCGTATGCACCTTTCACGTCCAAGAACAACGCCGCAGATAAACGTTTCAGTCTTTTTTGATGCTGAACAGATGATACCAGGTCTATAACGTTATCAATTGCGGACCGCCCACGCCGAAAGCCCATCATAGCATGAGGGTATACCTCGTGGCGCTCCAGGTACCACTCTAGGCGAGTCAAAATCATCCTCTCCATCACTTTCCCGAAACAGCTGGTAAGCGCGATAGGGCGATAAGAGGTCAAGTGCAGAGGAGATTTACCTGGTTTGAGCACAGGGACGAGGCAGCTGGATTTCCATGAATGAGCGATAAATCCGCTGCTCCATGAGTCATTGTACACGGATAGAAGGGCCCGTCGAGCTGCTTCTCCGAGGTTGCAAAGAGCCATGTACGTGATCCCATCCGGACCAGGCGATGAAGATCGTTTGCATGCCGTGAAGGCCGCTTGTAGTTCCTCTAGAGAGAAAAAGGTGTCCATTCTTGAATCTCTGGAAACTAGAGCGTTTTCTAGGTGGCGCGTGGTGCACGCGGACGCATGACCGGCAACTTTCATGCAGAAATATTTTGCTACTTCAATTTCGGTGCGTCCTTGGTGGAGAGAAAGACACTTGAAGGGGTGATAATGATGTGGCGATGTTCGTAGGCCACGGACAATCCTCCATGTCTGCGTCAAAGGCTTGTGTGGATCCAAAGATTCGCACAGATATTTCCAGCGAAAGGATTGAAGTGTAATGATTCGCCGCTGAATTTTTTTCTGTAGGCGCCTTGCCTCCCTCAAGTCGTGAATGGACTTAGTGCGCCTATATCTTCTTTCTGCGCGACGACGGATTGTTCTGAGCCATTGCAATTGCGCTTGATGTTGACAATCTTCTGAAGTATGTTGAATATGATAGGTCGCTTCTTGAGTAGCTCCTCTTATCATATCCTCGAGGGTGTCAAGAGGAGGCGTTTAATTTCTTGACACCTTTTTTCCATGAGTGACCTGAACTTTGCCCAGTCGATGTGAGTCGAAGTGTCGTAGTTTGACGATTTTTCCAGGCCCTTGATCTTCAAATATGTTGGTATGTGGTCGCTTCCATGAGTTTCATAGTCTGCGAACTATTCCGGTGTTCAGCAGTAAACACGCAGCCTTGAAGCAACAATGAAGAAAAACTTTTATTTGTGGCAGCATGCCGGTATATATATCGTGGGGCAGTTGCATTATCACAGCCAAGCGGTACAGAACAGTGATAAGCAAAAGGCAGATACAAAAAGGCGCATGCGCAGGCAGCTAAAACGATACATCTCCCTCCGTATGACAGCTAGAGCTTTGACATCAAGATACACGTGACTTGGTTGAAGTTCTCGTCGTAACGAAGGCGGCTGGGTTTTCGCCTTTGCCGGGCGGACTTCCTTGGTTGGTGTTCTAGCGTTGGGGTTGACGTCGTCGACTCCGGCGAACTTCCTGTTGACGCAGGTTGTACCACTGACGGCGACCATGAATTTTCCTGGAACATGTCTTCGTCGGTAGATGAGTCCTCCGCTTCGTCCCTCTGGAAAGATTCACGTGTGGCGAGAAGGTGTTGCCGATTCCGTCGAAGCACCCGACTGTCTTCTGTGAAGACGCGACAAGACCTTGGCGCCACCTTATCCAAAACACGAGCCTTGCGATCCCATGTATCCCCACGAACTCTTACGACTGCATCCTTGTTGAGTTCTGGCAGGGGTTTCCCTCTCGACGACTTCGGTTGGCGCGACTGACGCCTGAAGTCCTGGCGTCCAGAGCACGGTCTGAAATCGGGCAGCCGATTGCGCAATTTCCCGCCCTGCAGCAATTCTCCTGGAGATCGGCCTTCGTCCAGTGGCGTCGAGCGATAGCTGAGTAGGCCAAGCCAGAAGTCCTCCTTCCTTTCACCAGTCTTCTTCATGATCCTTTTAACAATTTGAACTCCTTTTTCTGCGAGCCCGTTTGACCGCGGGAATCTTGGACTGGAAGTCGCGTGCGTGAAGTCATATCTGGAGGCAAGCAAAGAAAATTCATGGGATGCGAACTGGGGGCCGTTATCAGTGCAGACTTCTAAGGGAATTCCATATCTAGAAAAGAATGAGCTAAGTTTATTTAGGACCGTGCCCGTCGTTGTGTCCGGCAGCTTTTCAACTTCAGGAAAGTTCGAAAACGCATCAAACGCGCACAGGTAGGAGCTCCCGGCGTACATAAAGATGTCCACGCCAATTCTGTACCAGGCATGCTCTGGGGTTGGCCTGAGCACTACCGGTTCACTTTGTTGCCTGTACGCGTATTTTTGGCAAACAGCGCAGTTTTTCAATAGATTTCCGATGTCTCCATTCAGGCCGGGCCAGAATACCAGTCGACGGGCCCTTGCTTTGCACTTATTTATGCCTAAATGACCTTCATGAATGCGACCCAGTATTTCAGCTCTCATAGCCTTAGGAATGATGACCTTTGTTCCTTTCAGGACAATTCCTTGAACTTCGGTCAACTCTGAGCTGAATGGTTTCAAGCAGCCTTGTAGTTATTCGCTGTTTCTCATGCAGGGCAGCACAGTTCGTAAATCTGGGTCAGCAGCTGTTGCTTCAAATAGACGAGAAAACATTTTCTTGCTTACCAGGTCTGAAGACACGCTCACTGCATGAACGTCAACATCCTCTGTGAAGTCATCCATAGTGCCCGGTGCCACTGGCGACGATCTAGATAACATATCAGCCAGGAACATTTGTTTACCTGGGACAAAGTGAAGAACATAATCGAATCTGAGCAAACGCAGAAAAAACCGCTGAAGTCGTGGCGGCATGTCACCAATGGCCTTCGAAGCAATTGCTATCAGCGGTCTGTGGTCCGTCTCAATGACGAATTTGTGGCCGTATACGAAGTGAAAAAAACTTCTCGCTCCCAAAAGTGATTGCCATTGCCTCTTTTTTGATTTGTGCGTATCGTTGCTCAGTCTCGGTCATTGTGCGGGACGCGTAGGCTACCGGCCGCCAATTGTCGTCATAACGCTGAAGGAGAGCCGCACCGATGCCGTTTTTCGAATCATCTCCGACGACCTTTGTTTCCCTAGGAGGATCAAAAATGGCTAGCAACGGTGCAGTGCTCAGTAAAGCGCAAACAGATTTCTATTCGCGGACATGGTTCTCAGACCATTCGAAGGTGGTGTCTTTCTTAAGGAGGCTTCGCAGGAGCGTCGTTCTTTGCGCCAGATGCGGTATGTATTTACCAAAATAGTTGACCACCCCTAGCAGTCTGTGGACGCTGGCTTTGTCAACTGGTGGTGGCATCTCGCTTAATGGTGTTGTCATTGCGGGGTTAGGTCTGATCCCGTCTTGGCTTATCACGTCGCCCATGAAGTCGATTTCGGTGACCCCGAATTCGCACTTAGCAGCATTGAGCGTAAGGCCGGCGCTCTTCGCCAACTGCAAGGCTGTGCGGAAGCGGGCGTCGTGCTCTTCCCTCGTGCTACTCCATATCAATATATCGTTGATATATATTCGCACTCCTGGGACCTGGTCGAATATTTCATTCGTGGTTTTTTGAAAAACCTCAGGTGCCGAAGCTATACCAAAAGGCAGCCTTAGGAAACGGTAGCGCCCAAACGGCGTGCCAATCGTGCACACCTTCGAAGTAGCCTTATCTAGAGGAAATTGATGAAATCCAGATTGCGCGTCGAGGCGAGAGAAAAACTTGGCACCGGCCAGCTCAGCCTCAATGTCCTCTCTTTTTGGCATTTGATAGTGCTCTCTTTTTAAGCACTCATTGATGCGCCTGGGGTCAATGCAGACACGCAGTTTACCATCCTTTTTTCTCGCGGCGACAAAGGGGCTCACCCAATCCGTCGGTTCGCTGACTTTGACCACGATGCCTTCATGCTCCATGCGGTCCAGTTCCTCTCGCAAGGGCTGGAGCAGCGCCTGGGGCACCCGTCGTACCGGTTGGACCACCGGGGTTGCATTCCCCCGCAGAACCATGTGGTACTGGCGTTTTAGACAGCCGATGCCCTGAAACAACTCAGGAAATTCTGTCATCGCTTGGATGGTGCTGCTTGTATTCACTACGTCGACAGTACGAGAGACCAGTCCTAAAGCTTCACTCGCCGACAGCCCCAGGATGGCCTAGGTGCTCTTCTTAACAATGAAGAAGTCGAAGTAACTGGTGTGGCTGTTCGCGACAACTTGTAGCATAGTAACACCGATAAGCTTGATAGCGTCGCCACTGTATGAGCGCAGAACAGAGGAGCTTTCCCGTAACCTGGACTTCGATTTTAGGCTTTGGAACACAGACTGAGGCAACAAGTTGGCTTGTGAGCCTGTGTCAACCTTAAGAGACACTTGTTTGGAAGCCACTGTTGCATTGATCAGCCAATCAGCTTTGCTGCCAACGTTTACATCGAGGATGTCAAAGTCATCTTGGTCGTCGCGTACTTCCCTGACTTGAGGCCCTTTCTTGCAGCAGGAAGCAAATGGTTAGCGCCCCGGCACAGAAAACAAGTTTTGCCAAAGGCTGGGCATTTTCCACGCTCGTGGGAATGATGGCACCGGGAACGCCTGAATTGTCTGCGTGCCTTAACATGTGCAATTGCTTTCTCGGGTTCAACCCTACATTCCTCGGCACATTCGGAATATTGTTCACACGCTGCACATTTGGCCTGCCGGTGCATCTTTATCGGCGCTACTTCCTTCTCTGTACCAGCCCAGGCATTATTTTGCTCAGCGCATACTTCGTCGGCCTTACAAATGTCTTCCGCTTTTTGTAGCGTGAAATCTTTAACTTTGAGCATTTTCTCGCGCAATTTCGATTAACTGTTCCAAAAACAATCTGGTCCCTGACCACGGAGTCACTCAAGGTGCCGAAATTGCAGCTTCGTGCAAGCCGCCTTAAGACCCGGGCGAAATGCTCAAAGGGCTCCCCCTCTGCTTGCGTTCTTGAGCGGAAAGCATAACGCTCGTATACTTCGTTCTGCTGCTGTTGACAGTACGCCTCAAACTTGCTCGTAACAGTTGCGTAATCTTCCTTGCTTTCGTTCTCAAAGAAGGCAAAGTTGTTGAATACCTCTAGGGCGTCCTCTCCGGCAACGCTGAGCAAGAGTGCTGTCTTGGCTGCCTCCGACCTCTGTTCTTTCGACGGCTCCGTGGCCTGCAGGAACAGCTCGAACCTCTGCTTGAAAAGGCTTCAGTTCTTTGCTGTACTTCCCGAGAGCACCAATGGCTGCGGTGGCTTCAGTAGTTCCATCCTGAAGGTGCACGGTGACGCCCCTCTGCCTGCTGTCACTGCTTTGGCGAACGCGACCCCACTTCTGACACCATGTTCCGGTGTCCAGCAGTAAACACGCAGCCTTGAAGCAACAATGAAGAAAAACTTTTATTTGTGGCAGCGTGCCGGTATATATATCGTGGGGCAGCTGCATTATCACAGCCAAGCGGTACAGAACAGTGATAAGCAAAAGGCAGATACAAAAAAGGCGCATGCGCAGGCAGCTAATACGATACGCGAACCACTTGACCTTTCCATTTAGGCTTCGTGACACAAATGTCAAGTCAAGGCAGCTGCTGTATGTCGTTCCCCGTAGAAACTTTGGGCTTCCGTCGTTTACACAAAGCAGCTGCTGCTCCAGAGCAAAGCAGAATACTAGCCTTCCGCGACTGTCAGTCTTCTGACTTCCCCATAGTGGGTGGTGAGCGTTGAAATCTCCGGTGATGATCCATGGTCCAGGTGTGGCTGTTAACAGTGCACGTAGTCTTTCAGATTCAAAACGGTTCGAAGGTAATATATATGCGCCTACAAGCGTGAAATTGAGGTCTCTACGTTTAACTGTCAAGCAGACATACTGGTTGTCGTCGTGAGGTGCTACACGGTGCTCGATATAGGTAAGGTCGCATCTGATATATACAATGACTTTACTCTGTTCGTTGCAGGTAGCGGACTTGAAGGCTTCGTACCTGGATAGTCGTATTGCATTGTGTAGCCTTGGCTCACAGATAACAATAATTGGAAACTGGTTTTTAGACACAAATTGTCGGATATCAGAAATGCGGGGCTCGAGGCCTCAGGCATTCCACTGAAATATCGAAGCTCCTTTGGCCTCTTTACGAAAGGCTTGCAGAGGCGGAGCCATGGTGCCTTTCCAGACTTGATAGCACCGGCTTCAGCGCATCCACTAACTGAAGTGCACTCTTTGCAGCCGGACTGTCAATGCTAGTGAGGAGCATACGAATGGTATTGATAAGGGCCTTTACCATGGCTACGATTTCTTTGTCGCGACTATCACCGCATTCTCTTTCTGAAGTGATTGTAGACGAGCGATGCGGTGGCTCAAACGGTGGGTCTATCGTTGGCAGCGCTGGCCATGCTTAAGGCGAGCCAGTGATGCTCTTGTCTTGCTTGGTGGATTTGTTTTCGGCGTGTCTGGACGCTTGAGGTGGTATGCCGGCGGTCTTTTTGTGAGGTTCAATCCTTGCTTCAGCACTGGGTCTCCTCAGGGGCCTCCGGCGATGAGACCGCTGGCGTCGTACTTAGGCAGCAGCCTCCCTGTGAGTTGAGCCATCCCGGACCATTTGCCTCAACACTTGCATTTGCCTTTTCATGATTGGGCAATCTTTTGACGATGCTTCGTGAGGGCCATGACAGTTTCGACATTTTCGAAGTTCTGCCTGGCAAGCGTCTGCGCTATGTGATTCTGAGCATAGCGAGCACACAGCCAGGTTTGTACAAACAGCACTGACATGTCCCAATCTATAACATTTCCGGCATTGAAGGGGCTTCGGTACAAAGGGTCGCAGTGTGTGTCGAAAATGGCCGACCTTGACTTGCGATGGAAGGCTGTCACCCTTGAACACGAGCTTCACGCAGCGTTATTTGCCAAAGCGACGAGCTTGCAGTATAGTAAGTTCTGTAGACACCGGTTTGATGAGAGCAGCAAAGTCACTTTCGCTGATGGAAATGTCGACGTCGTAAATGACGCCTGCCGTAGAGTCGTGGCCATCAGGTATATATGAGCGATCATTGATGTTATCCAACATCTTGACGTTGCTCAGCACTTCTAATGTGCTTCGTTGAGTGACGTCTACGGCAAGAAACCTAGACGTGACTTGACGATTGAGCCGGTTGAGACTATGAGCCGCATCGACAGGCACAAACAGAATTGTGTATATCGTGGGCTCTCACGTCGTCATCACATTCTTACTTGTTGTTGGAGACGGCATCACTAGTCTTCTTTTTCGCTGCCGCCTTGTCACAGGCACGAAGTCGCCTTCATCGGAGCTTTCGTCACTGGCCGTAGAGTAAATCAGCGTGTCTTCGCTGTCGGCATCACTCGGGTGGCCCGTGCACTTTCTCATGGTAGCTGCGGACGACGTCGATGGTTGCGGTGGAAGCCCAGGCGAATCCACGTCCATCGCCGCAGTCACTGAAACGGTGTCTTCCACAGAGTCGCAGAAAAACTTTGAAAAATTACAGATAGTGACAGCAGTGTTCTACGACAAAAAAGGCATTTCAGAGCTTTTTCAAAACGCTGGTTGGGTAGTTACTGCAAGCACACTGGCTTGGTACCCTCTAGGGCATTAACAATAATTTTTTGGGTAGTAGGCCTGCATTCGCTATGCTATTTTTCATCATTCTTCTGAGAAGCGTGGTATCTGCTAAACACTTGCAAGGAATTTTCTGCCAATTGTCCATGCAGTAGTGCGTGATGACGATGAATAATTATGGCTGAAGTGGGTATGCGCCACAGTTAATAGCGGTACAAGAACACGCTTTTGTGATGGTTTGAAGCATTGGACGGTATACTCGCTACACTATTCGCATTGTGCGACGACTGGTTGCTCTTTCGCTGTTGTAAAACGCTTTATAAGTCGTATTAATGCGATTGCTTTCCCGACATCTAGCCTGCCTAAGGCAAGTTTGACAACAAGTCACTAGCACTGGTGTAGCTCAGTGGTAGAATACTGGGCTGGTACCCAGCGCACCCGGGTTCGAGTCCCACTGTGCCATCGGTGCTAGGTCATGCCTCCGTAAGGATAGTGTGACAACAAGTTACAAGCCCCGCCGTAATTCAGTGGTAGAATATTGGGCTGGCACCCACTGGACCCGAGTTAAAGCCCTAGAGTGTTATTGGTGCAAATAATTTTTCGCTCGTGGTTACAGACACTGGTAGCGGCGGTGTTAGACAATAGCAACTACGCGTGACACGAAAAGTGATCTCATAACAGCTTTCGCTGTAATATTGAAACCGAGCATCAAGGCTGATTAGGTAGATGCAACACAGCCACGTCAATGTAGCCGGACATGCTCGTGGTGGCTTCACTTGCTTCGAACTGTAGACATCGCTCGTGCCGATGTCTACAATTCGCGTGACGCACTGTCTTTTTTGACATGTGTGTTGGCTAATGAAAAATCCGTAACAGTCGTCGTACTTTGTAGATTTCCAGAATTCAAGAACAATGCTACAGTAACAAACTACTGTCATCTCCTGCTAGGAACTGGTATTCCAATAATTAAAACACTAAAATGGAATGTGGAATACTATATATATAATTTCAAAATCACTAAAATTTCCTTTAAAATAATTCGGTCATCCCTATCACAGAAGACAGGTTGAAGAATACGACGTCTTCGTATGTAGTTTTAAATAAAACCCTACAAGCCGTTCAAATTCTCAGAAAGCATGGTTGATACTGTTGATTTTAGCATTGCCAAAAAATCATACTTAAGGCGTTACCAATGAGGCAGGCCGCAGCTGATGGAACTTACCAATCGTCATCAGGAAAAAACTCGGAGTAAGGTGAAACGCTTACCTGTAAGAGAACGGAATAGTGCATCAGTTTATCGCTATTTCAAAAAGGCAACCTACAAGCCGATTGCAAATTCAACTGCAAAATGAGGTACGAAAAAAAAAACTAGAAAACTTATACGTGACTATTCACCTACTGGATAATGGGCGCAAGCGAAGCAGTGCGTATACGTGCCAGAGCTAGTATTTTTGTTGCGACGGAAATGATATGCACATTCCAGACAAATTTTTACCATCGCC